TTTACTCAGTTGGTCCTCATCTTGTATGAAAGTTTGTATTAAAGTGTGACAGATATGCAAAAATAAAAGAAAACAGAAGGAGGCAAATACTTTTTCTTTGCACTGTATTAAGTGCTAATTAATCAAATGGTGATTAAAAAATCTGACACAAAACAAAACATTTCAGCCAAGATTGTCAAATCATGCAAATAGTACAATGAAATAATAATAATAATGCAACCTAGCATATCTTAAAGTATGTGGCTGTATTACCAATGAAAACACATGGTTAAGATCATTGCTGGTTGATATTCAACTCTAAAAAGTACTAAGATGAGGTCAGGTGGCACAAAACTGGATCATGACCACCCATTTGCACAATGTTAACCGGTGTATGTAAGTTTCCACTACTTACTAGCTACCTTAGCCTCGTAGCTCCAGCGCAAAACTAAGTAAGCACACTTTAGACACTAAACATGTCTTGGCTGATCAACTACATTTTGGGGTAAGCAGCAAATTGTATAAGTTTGATCTTTTGCCACGCTATCCCTTTAAATGTCACCTTTTAGGCTGATCTGCACTGTCTATAGATAATGTAGTTAAACAGGACCCAGTTTATAAAAAGCAAAGAGATGATACAGTTATCATATCTATTAGAGAGCGTTCAAAATGATGCTTGCTTCAGCGTCTTGCAATGATATTTGCATAGTGGCGCTACTAGGTAGCCAACCTCAATTCCTAAGACAGCCAGACTACACTTGAAACAAAGGCGAGCCTTAACACAGTAAGCCACAGAAAATGACTATTACTCTATTTTGGGAATAGGGCATGAAAGGCCGTGAAACCTCATGTTTAAGCACAATTGACTTGTCTTTGCAACATGCTGGGAGTGATAGACCTACACAGTAGACAGTAGAACTCTTTCTGAATAAAACATGATAGAACGAATGCATCTTTAATGCCCCAGTTCTCCCAACTCTTCTGACATGGAGTGCTCAAAAGAACACCTGGCATATTTTCACTCACATGCAGCCACTGTGGCTTTATCTTTCATTAGGTTTTGTGCAAATGTCAGAAACCAGCCTTCATTTATTTCATTTCCAGTCAAAACAGCCATTAAGCACAAGTTGTTTTGGCCTGCTCAGAGCCCAGACGTCAACATCACTGAATGTGTTTGGCAAAACGTGCAACCAGCTTCTAAGACTGAACTTTGAAGCTGTAGAAAAATGTCCCTGCAGATTTCTTTGAAAAACTAAAGGCAAGTGTCATTCTGAAAATAAGCTGTAATAAGCTGTAAAGGACCCTAATGGTTTAACAGGTAACCAATGGCCAATTCTAAATGCATTTGATGGTTTTCCAATGGGATCTAAAGGTGTTCTACAGGAAACTAGTGGTCTCTATTGAAAACTATTAAGCCAATTCCTGTTAGAAAAGGAAACCACTAGGTTTTAATCCTAATGGTTTCTAATGATCCTTTTTCAGCAGGGATTACATTTAGTCGCTGAGGCTTCTGTGTAATTCTTTTTGAAATGTTTCCTCCCTAAAGCCAAAAAAATAAATAATTTGTACGTAATGGCCATTTTGACTAGAAATTACTGGAAATTAAATTAATGAAGGGTCTTTTTCTCTGCTTAATTGTGACCCCTCTCTTCCCCTTTGATTTATTCAGCAATGGTCAGGAGCCCCACAGGACCACCACTGAGCAGGTATTTTTTTGGTGGTGGATCATTGTCAGCACTACAGTGACATGGTTGTGGCATATTCAGCAGTGGTCCTGTGGGGAAAATGGGGGCTGACAAGAGAAACAGACTAAATACAATATGTTATTGTAGAACTATAAAGTGAGCCTATACGGTAACTGGACCTGCCACTCTATATCACCATCTCACCTTAGGGGAATCCCTAACGCCATCTTAAGGGGTGTTCCATTACTGTATTAGCTCAAATGAAGTTTGTTAGATGAGCCCTCAGAGGGGTGAGAGTGAGGGAAGACAATTGTGTCGACAACTTGCTAAGGAACAATGTTGCAGCTTAGCGAAGACTTTTCAGGCCCCTTTAGCAACTTTTTTCCAAAAAGCACCTAGAAACAAATTCAGCAAGTTGTTGGACAAGACAGTGGCCAATACTGCGCCGCAAGGCAGAGTCACACTTCTATCTGTATCTACTCTGTTCACTGAATAGCAGAGAGGCGCAGCAGCACATTCAGTCTGCATTCAGTCCACTAGGGAGCAGGTTAGGTCTAATCATCGCTACTGAAAACGGAACGTCATTCTTGTGGTTTGTTACCCAGACGTGGGCTGTGTGCTGTGTGGGAAAAAATATAAGAAAGATATTCTGTCTTCTAACTTTCTGTCTGAGTGATCATTTTATTTAAATAAAGTTAAAATCACAGCACAGCTGTTTTCTTTAAACTATGTGTATGGTGAATTGGTCAGATGACGTCAAGGTTATAAAATTATAATTGTCACAGTGCAGCGCAACAGCATAGGAATGGCTTGGAAGAGGCTGCTGATTAGCATGTAGTCTTAATGGGCCGCGTTTCAGTCACTATTTCATACTAGTCCCTCTGTCTGACAACATAAACAGAAATATATTATATGTACTGTATGAATTCAGCTGTATTAAAATACAGTATAGAGTAGGAAAGAAGCCACCAGATGCAAAGGCCTGACACCGTCTAACACTAGGCAGAATGCAAATACGATAAGATGACGTCAAAAAAATGCTAATTAATGCATGACGCCATCTAACGACATTTAATGACTTTTCCAGCAGGCTTTAGCTACTTTCCTTTGAAAGTAATTGACAGCAAGGCCAAGAAACCAATGCTACCTGACACATTTCCCTTGAATATACCTGAAAATAACTGTTCATAAGCCAAAGCAGTAAGCTACCTTAAAATGCTTGACATTTCATAACTGTAATATTCAATTTGCTGGGCGCTAACCTGGCCAAGCATGTTCCATTTGAATAATTTGCCCCTTACTTTCCTCTCCTTTCCTTTTCTGCCACAGAGAGAGTCATCCAGAGTGGTTTGATGTGAAATGCTCTGTTCTAGTGAAACTAACTGAGTCAGTTGCTCACAGTGGTGCTGATAGGAACCAGATGTCTGAAGCCTCTAAAAGCTCCCTCACAGAAAGTTATTACACAACATGTTCATGATGTGCTGCCTGATGCCTCCGATATTGTTTTATGGTAGTTTTGAGACTTTTTTGAGAGGCATTAACAGATTACAGCACCACTTATTGTAATAGTCGTATGTTAACATAGTGGAAATTAACACAGTCTCTAAAGGGAACTTAAATAGGACATTTTTCTGCATATTTTGACACACAATTTCTATTTATTTGCTGAATTTAACAAAAGGAGATAAAATGTGCCATAATTTTATGCCCCCACCACTCCCCCCAACAGGTTAAATTTATCAAATAAGCAGTAATTGTACATTAAAATGTACAGAAATTTGTTCTCTGTAGAGGATATTATAATTTTTTTTTCACTTAGAAAATCGACACAATGTCATTTGACCGAGGGTGCCAAAACTTTTTGCGCATGACTGTCTTTTACTGCCTCTTATGTCTTTCGCTCTTTGTTTCTCTCGCTCTCTTCCTCTTTATGTGTGTGTGTGTGTGTGTGTGTGTGTGTGTGTGTGAGACAAGGCAATGGGAACTTTTCTTTTCCGAACACTCCATGCCACATCTCCCAAAGGGAGGAAGCTGTCACAGCCTGTCATAAGACTTTGTGTCAGAATGTATAAATTAATGTCAAATGTCCAGTTGAGGTTTCTTCTTTCACATTAAAGCACCTGAGTTACATTTCAGATCACACTGTATCACTTTTGTATACACACTTTTGAATCAGTCAGCCATAACATTAAAACCACCTCCTTTGTTTCCAGTCCATCTGTTTCATAATTTGTTAGCTCCCTTTTTTTCTTGTTCTTTAATGGTCAGGACGCCTACAGAGCAGGTATTATTTGGGTGGTGGATCATTTTCAGCACTGCAGTAACACTGACATAGTAGTCAAAAAATATCCAGCCAACAGCGTCCTGTGGGCAGTGTCCTGGGACCACTGATGAAGGACTAGAGGATGACCAACACAAACTGTGCAGCAGCAGATGAGCTATCGTCTCTGACTTTACATCTACAAGGTGGACTGACAAGGTAGGAGTGTCTAATAGAGTGGACAGTGAGTGGACACAGTGTTTAAAAACTCCAGTAGCACTGCTGTGTCTGATCCACTCAGACCAGCACAACAAACACTAACACACCACCACCACGTCAGTGTTACTGCAGTGCTGAGAATGATCCACCACGCAAATAGTACCTGCTCTGTGAGGGTCCATGAGGGTCCTGACCACTGAAGAACAGGGTAAAAGGGGGCTAACAAAGTATGCAGAGAAACAGATGGACTACAGTCTGTAACTGTAGAACTACAAAGTGCACCTATATAGTAAGTGGAGCTGATAAAATTGATAGCAGAAGCAAGGAAGTGGTTTTAATATTATGGCTAATCAGTGTATATGTTTTTGTTTAGTTTCCGTGGGCTTTTTGCATTCAGCAAGTAAACATTTTTATTTGTAAGCAGATATTTTAGATAAAAAAGCTACCTCACATGAAGTTATTACATGAAATATAACTCAGTTGGTAGGTTTCTTTACAGTGAACCGTTTCATATCAACCCACTCTGAATGACTTTGTAATCTGAGCAATTTAATTGTGCAGAAATTTTGAACAGTTGGTGGAATTCCCCTTTAAGCTCTTACGCTGAGAGATGGTGGTTGTACTAAACAGTTACACCGCAGTTTCCCAGTGAAATGTTAGGCCTGCTATTTATTGTACTCTATTTGGTTTTGGTAATTGCTTTTACTTATTCCCTGTCTATATTTTATTACCATAATATTAAAATAAGTCATTTTATTCCAGTCTGCTTTTATTTTTATCTCTGTTCTGCTCGGGAGCCAAACTCTGACCATTCAAATACGATGTTGTCGCCCGGTGCTGAAACAGGGCTACACCGTGTTTCAGTGATTTCGGTCCCTGTGCTTGTTAGCAGCTAGCTAGCACACCATAACAATGTTTTTGTGAAAATTCATATTTAAATAAATCAGCACTCAGATATCTGTCGAAATGAAGGCAGCGCCAGTGAAACGGACTTACTCTAAACTGCCTGTGTGGATTGTGGAAGACCATCACGATGTGAGTCCTTTTTTAGCCCGAGACTGAAGTTGAGTTCGTATTTCAATTTTCCGTTCCACCTTAAATGGCGAGGGCAGTCGCTCTAGAATGCAGTGTGACAGAATGGAACTGCTGCCATTTAAGGTGGAACGAAAAATTGTAAGAAAAAGCTGGGGAATAAAAAGCTAGCTTTAGCTTCAGTCTCGTTCTTTTAAATGGTCTTTTGCTAAAATAAACTGCTTTTAATTCACGTTGCCAATAGAAACTGCTTAGTACAGTCTTCAATACTGAAACGTATATTAATAGTGTGGATAGTAAATAGTAAATAATATATATTAACAGTAATACTTACCAAACTTACCATAAAAGAAAAAACACCTCATTTCTGGTGATTAAAATTTAAACTGGGTTGAAAATTGGTCTCCAGTAAATTCATCCTGGTGTGTTTCCATTAAAAAAAATATATATATTTTCTTCTTAAATTTTTATTCCCTGTTTATTTCTGTAAAATTCTATAAATACATAAAAATCAGATGTTTAATAAAAAAATTAGCAATAAACCTTAAAGCCTTGGTTACGTCTGATTTAAAAAAAAAAAAAAGATTATTCCTTTTATAATTATTTGAAATAAAATCTTAATAGTGTTTGAATAGCTAATGATGTAGGTTTGGAATAAAATAGTAAAGAAAAAAAATGTACAGGATTTAACAATATTAAATTATTATTCAGTATAATTGATCAAAATACACATAAAATGTGTCCATTGCAAGTGTGTAACTTTAAGACACACAAAAACAATGATAATATATATTACTATCATTCTCAGATTATGCCTATTCTAATATCTAAACTCCTCTGCAGGTTGTGCCCTACATCTATCGGGCCATCGCCTCTCGCCATATTCCACTGAGCGGGATTAAAATGGTTCATCTGGACTCCCACCCTGACCTGCTGATCCCAGTTAACATGCCAGCCAGCACAGTGTTTGACAAAGAGGCGTTGTTCAGGTGAGGGAAGCACTAGCAGCTTACAGCACATCACCTGCTGAAGCAGCTGACAGTTCTCTTTCTGTCTGATGCCAAGAAAGCAGAACTGTGCTTGCTGTATCTGGATGTTTAGGATGATCCTCCCTCTTCCCCATCACTCAGTGCAGTGCCAGAGAGTGTCATCTATTAGCTAATGTAACAGATTTAGCAGTTAGCATTCTCCTCCAAGCGTGTTCATCTGTCCAATGAAGTAGCATTGGTGGCAGTTTGAAAAGATGTAGTAGCGCTTCTCATGTCTCGAAGGGAACAAACGCTAGTTTCCACCCTCCCAGCTTGGTGGCATCATGTCAGAATGGGCGATCTAGGTAGTTAAAAGAAACTGGGGGAAAAAATGTGTAAAAATATGCCCCAAAAAAACACAGTGCAGTGTTTAACCCTGTAAAATCGAAGGCTCACTGTTGTGTTTTATTTCAGCTGCAGTATAATCGCAGCATAATCACAAAATGGCATTTTGTACCTATCTTGCAACACTTACTCCTACGCACTTATTTCAGTCAGTATGTGTGACATGTGAAGTGGAATGATACTTCAGTCAACTGACCACTGTTGACTCACTTGACATCCATCCTAGGCTGAAAGGCTTTTTTTTTTTTTTCTCCAGTGAGCTGAGCATTGAGAACTGGATCATGCCCATGGTCTTCGCTGGACACGTGTCCCACATTGCCTGGCTGCATCCATACTGGGCTCAGCAGATCAAGGAGGGGGAGCATAATATTTGTGTTGGCAGAGATAAGTCAACAACCACCATCAGGTGAGAGGCAGCACATCATTGTATTATGAAACAGTCTCTCTTAAATGGTCTTTGTCTCTTCTTCTGGGTTCATACAATTGTGTAAAAAAGGCTATAAATTGTTTCCGTTCAGTTACTGTGTTCACTCAATGTAGATGTCAGTGTCTTACTGCACGGGTCTAACCTTCAGTGTCACGCACTGGAGTGAGCGATTAACCAGCCCAATGTAGGCGGGGCTGGGACAACACATATGTATAGAGGAATCTTGCAATAAACTCATTCTAAATAGAAGTTCTGAACTAGTTCTAGCTGTGGAAAGTGCTCCTAGGAAAGATGAATGCATGACAATAAAGCCAAATAAAAGTCTGAACAACAGCAGTCATTTCCATTTGTAAATAAGGCGGATGAAAACCAGTTATACAGGTCTGTGGGCAGGAGTGGGGCAAACAGTATAGGTTGTTGGCAAGACTGGTACAAACAGTGCAGTTTTTTTTGCAGGAGCGGGATGAAATCTTGTGGGACTGGGACTGAAAAATCAATCCTGTGCAGACCTCTAACTCAATGCAACATCTAATATTAAATATATATTTACATGCACACACAAATGCAGTCTCCTAGGTCCCCTATTGGTGCATACGCCTTGAAACTCATCTTCTTGCTCTTCTTGCGTCTCGTTGTAAGTGTGGATTCTAATGTTTCACTCCATACATTCACGTTTCTTTATAGAAAAACACAGAGACAAAACAAATTAAAGCAAAAAAAAAACTTTGTACGAATTTGCAGTGTCTCTTCCGTCTACGAGGACAAGTGGAACCAAACCATGCCAGTAAGCTGCTCCCCTACAGCATAACAGAGCCACTGAAACCACTCACAGTAGGGGTAAAGCATTCAGGCCTATATTGTTCTCTGAGCATACTGGAGAATATGGTGAAGAATTTAGTGAAGGATGACTCGTCTGACCATATCAATTTCTCCACATCTCTGTAGACAAAATGTGCATTCGTCTTTTGTAATGAAGGGTTTTATGCCCTGCAACCCTATTTTAATCCTCTCTGTGTAGTTGTGGAGAGACGGTTCTTGCTTACACAAACTGACCACATCCTGCATTATTTGGCCAACCCACCGATATATTATTTCATTTTTATAGGCCATTCCAAACCAAGATAATATCACCGAAATGTGAAAAGAAATCTACATTTTGTATGTGGTAGAGTTGGAGTTCATTTTCACATATTTGGAATTTTTTTAGCAGTCTTGGTATGTTGGGTGAAAATTGGTTAATATGTAAATTGACCAAGATAGCTTCCATTTAGTTTGCATCGGAAATCGAAGTGGAACACGTTGATTTCTGTGAACCGTTACCGCTATGAGAGCTAAACAAGCGTCTACAAATTACATTGCAAGTGGCAATCTTCAGGGGTCCAAGCACCCCGCGCCATTATGGAGCCAGTAAAACACAAATGATGGGCAGAGGGTTTAGAATGACCTTGATTTCTAATACATGTGGAGTCTCAAAAGAAGATGACTAAATTTTGTGCACATTCTCTTTATTACCTTGGAATGGTATGTTTGGTATGTTTAGTTGTTTCCAAGTACTAAGAACTTGGACATCTGCAGCAGAGTGCACCAGAATATTAAAATCACTAACAATTTCTTCTAGTAATGATGCCATCAGACTCTGCTACTGGAGATTGGTTTCTGAACTTGTCACCTTTCTCACTGCTTAGTGAGAAGTTTTCACGTTTGAGCCAGTTGAGCGGTGACTGGAGTTCTTGCCATCCTTGCCCCAATAATGAACTCTCTTTCAAACCCTCCTTTATAATTTATAAAATAATGTTTTTGTCATACCATCAAAAAAAATCAAAGGAGCAGGCTCAAACCTGTCAATACAGAATGTAAATGTAATTCATTGTGTAACTAATTAAGTAATCAATTATGAAATGTCTTGCCAATGTAAATAATGTGTAAATAATTAAGAAATAACAGCAAATGCACTGTAATAGCTTTAGGCTTCTAAGGGTGATGGTTAACTCTAATGATTTCTTCTGCCTTCTCTCTTTCAGGGTCACGAGCACTGATGATTACTTTCTGAGTGACGCCCTCTACGTTCCCGCAGACCAGCTTGAGGACTCCAAGTCCTTGCACTTAAGAGTCATCCAGGTGGATCCAGTGGACATGTCTCACAGTAGCCAGGGTCAGAACGACCCCATCTCTGCTAAGAAACCTAAAACCGATTCTAATGGGGAGGTAGACAAAGAGCAGGATCATCAACCCAAAACAAATGAGTCTTTCACATGCTCGTTTCAGCCACCAGATGGCAGCAGTACATCAGGAAACAGTGCAAATGCCCAGAAAGGCTCAGCTGCATCTTTTGTAAGCAGCCTGCTTAGTTTCATGGAGCAAAATGATGCTTACATCCTTGACATTGACCTGGATTTTTTCTCCTGTAAGAATCCATTCAAGGATATTTACACGCAGGTATTTAATAGGCAACTCTTTAATGGAAATTAAATTACTTTCCCTTCATTAACATGATATTACTAGTGCAAATGTCTGTTTATTTCCTGCAAGCATGAACAGGGCCAATATTTCAGCTTTTTATTTGTATTAATGTGCTCTATGTAATGATTAACAGAATTTCTGAATGCATTATTATTGTGTTCCTCTCTACAGGAAGAGTACTCCGTCCTGCAGGAATTGTACAGTTTCAAGAGGCCCAAAGAGCATGCAGACGAGGTAATGGAGGCTTTTAATCAAATGAACACTTAGGACCAGTGAGTGATCATAAATGCGTGGCCTTTGAGAGCAGGTCCTAAGCCAAGGCTGGCGTAATGTTCTTTTCAATGAGGGCTGTTTTTTGTCAACATTTATAAAGCTCTGTAAAGAGTAAAAAAAATATTGTGATCAATAATTTAACAAACTACCATGATAGAAATAATTGCGAAAAGAAATAAAAAGCAAGAAGGAAATAACATAAATGTAAACATGTTTGTGTCATTCATATAGGTCATAATCATCGTCAGTTATAATTAGGGCTGTCACGATTACTCGATTAAAAAAAAATGTTTTTTTTTGTGAACCAGCTTAATAATTAGTTTCCAATTTGAATGATGACCAGGGTATCTGCTGCTCATAATAAAACTGTGTTTGGAAGGTTGCAGATCCTCCATATATTGGTGATATAACTCGCTTTTATGTGCATCGCTGAAAAAGAGGAAACCCACACCAGCAGGATCTCACAAATACGCACATTTGTAGATACAAATATGTGCATATATGACATAAAAATAAACGTTTGCTATTACAAATTATGTGTAAATGAAGAAAAAGTGTATGTGAAGTAAAGCGCTTTGGTAAACGACGTCTAGGCTGAACCAGCTCGGCAGACAGCGAGCAGGCTAACAGGCTCCTCCAATAATATTCAGTTAGGCTTTACTGAAGAATTCACTGTGTTGAATATGCCATTTGAATGTCTTTAACAGGCTTAAAATTTTTCAAATGTCTAAATGCGTAGAGTTTGTCTAAGTAATATTTGCTATGTGGGAAGTGAATTCAAAGCTTTTACATGCTGCTTCTGGTTTTTTTTTGCTGTTACAATAACAGATTGTTCCACAATTTGCGATTAATACTTTGTAGAATTGTTATGGCATAGTTTTATACCTTAGTTCTGCAATATTTTAATTTGTGCTGCAACACGTAACTTTTCTAGCACCTGCTCAAAGTGTTTAGTATGTCATAAGAGTAAAATGAGAAAGAAAAACGTGACATCAGACACAGTAAACAGTGTGATGACAAACTTGTGAGAACTGTTGCCTATAAAATAAAATAGCAAATACATTTAAGGCCGACTCTCAAATGCTAAAAATATCTGAGAATATAAAAGAGTCTTTTGTCATAACAGTTACTAATGACGCTGCAGTAGAACTGTTGACAGTATGAAATATTCAAAAATGTCATATGATTATTGAAAAGTCAGTAGTATGTCAGTGATAATTTGCGTGTCACGCGTCTCTAATTTTGGCTATGTTTGTTTCTAAGTCTACAGAGCAGATAAATAAGTGGTGCATTTTTTTTGTGCTTGTGCATCGCAAGCTTGTTGTTCTCGCCACCTCTGTGAATAACTATGTTTGTGGTTTTCCTCTCTCATTGTAAGGAGGAGCTGCTTGACTGCGTGGAGAGACGCACTCGGCAGTTGGAGGATCTGGAAGCTGCCTTTGCTGACCTGCTAGAGGACGACAGCCAGAACACCATAGACCGCTGGGCTGCAAACCCTGGGTACACACACCCTGTGTGCTTTGTGATTGCACGCTGCTATCTAGCAGAAATGTTTGAACACAGTCTTCTTCACACACAGACGGTTTGGAAAAGGGTTGGCAGTAATGTTGGCGTGCCATTTGCTTCTGCAGGATGGGATCTCTGGCCAAACTCGTGTCTAGCCTGAAGAACCGAAACAAATCACCAGACTATGAAATGGTAGCTAAACCTTTTTTCTATAATCCTTAAAAATCTACACTTATGTCATTTTGCAACACATTTGCTTCACGTTGTGTAATTGTTTATATATAATTACATAATGAATTACATAATGAATTACATAGTTACAGAGTTACATAATGAATTACATAATTACATTATAATTACTGTTACATTTGACTCTACATTCCATGTTGACAGGTTTTAATCTGTACTAATCGTACTGGTTTCTTTTGTTTCGATGTCACAATACAAAATCATGGCAACCGTATAATGAAAAAGGATGTTTTTTCTTTGCAAAACAAGACAGTGATAACATTCATAATAAGTTATAATCAAACATAGATTTGTAAGTAAACCTATTTTTGTAAGTTAATGATGTTCCTGCATGTTTCAGTAAGCATTTTCACCAACCAAAGTGGATTTATTTTAATGTATTTAATTTTTTTGGGTAAAATTGTGAAAGGAAATAATGAACAATGAATAGATAAATCTGTGTTAGTATTTCTTTGTAAGTTTAGCCCCCCTGGGCCCAGCAAAAGTGGTGTTCTTATTTCATTTCTTAATTTCTACAAGGCTGAAGCTGGTTTCTTACTCTGCAGCTATTTTTTTGACTTTTTGTTCCTCTTTAAATGGAGTAACAGTTACAATCTGGCCCCAGTATAGGCAGCTGAATGTAGATGCTGCACCATTTAGGGCTGAACTGAAATTTTGGATAAGAAGCATCTATTGCCTCGTGTCGCGTGCAATGTCAGTACTAGCTGGGTCACAGCTTGTTGCGCCCAGCTGACCATGTCTGATGACCCATTTGGGCTTAGGCTAACCCAAAAAGACTGGTCATTCCTTTATGTCTGCTAGCCTGAAAAACAAAGTGAGCTACTGAACAGACTAGACAGCGGGACGTGATCAGGGGTCTGCTGCGTTTTCATTCTCATTTGAAACGTGACTGAAATGCCCCTCAGCTACTCAGCTAAAGCTAACATTAGAGTGGTGTACACTGCTTCTACATAGCGTTACCAGCACTTGTTTTTGGCGTACTGGTACTATTGTAATGGAAAACTTCTTACGAGGAAAAGGTTCAACCAGTATACTGACATCTACTACCTACTTTACTTAAAAGCACAAATGTAGGGATTGAAGGTTCAGAATCTACACTTTCCACAGATTTTTCTGCTTGTTTCATTGAGCTACGAGTAAGAAACTTTTAAATCAGGTAAGAACAGGTATTGCAAGTTGTGTAAGCGATTTGGGACCTAGAATTTTATTTAAGTGTCATTATTTTTGTCTTTTCCTGTCAGTAATTTTGTACTAATAGATACAATTGTATTTAGAAAGATTTTTATTCCCATTTTGCTGGTGCTAGAAGTGAGAGTGAGGGTCTTTGCTGGGGCTTCTCCGCAGGTGCATCAGGCAGGGCTGACCTGTGATTACTCTGAGCTTCCACACCACATTAGCAGTGAAGAGGAGATCCAGCAGCTCCTGCTTGCTGTGCAGCTTGTGCTGGAGGCTCTGCCCAAACCCACTATAGTCACCATATCAAGGTAAAGCAGCATCTACACTTCAAGAAAGAGTGAGAAATTCTTCCAGTTTAAAGACTAAGACAACCCCATCAGATGATCCGTGTCTTAATGTTGGGAGAAAGTAATGTGGAAGGAAGCCAGATAGCTAACACTACTGCTAGGAAGCGGAATGTCATGTCTGTATTTATTAGTATCAAATTCATTGCTTTTCTTTATTAGTGGGGATTCCTAATAGTTGACTGATTTATGCACAGTGCGTACGGGATATTTTAGTAAAAGAACATGGGCAAAAATGTAAAAAGGATACAAAATCTTGAATACTAAAGGCCGATCAGGTATTGAGGCTGGATCAGATACTTTTTAAGCTCAGAGCTAAACTGCGCAGGCAGAAAGAACACTTTGAGCAGGATGGCCGCCTGTGCCGACAAGTTTATTTTTAGTTCTTAATTAGTGTATCACATTTCAGCAGCTTGCCTTAGTGATGTCTGTGTCTTGCTGTGCTTCTTCATGCTCTGGTAGAGTTTGTAGACTTTTCTGGGGGTTGCTTTGAAAGCAGAAGCTGTAAAATTGGGCGGTGGTCCTATTTATCGGCAGATTCAGATTACAGGATGTGTACGAGTACCCGAGTACTCAAGAAGCAATCCGAGGTACCAGTATTGTAACACTGAAATCACTATTTGGACATTGTGTGCGGTTCGTCACGTGAAGACAAGAAAAATTTACAGGCTTTCAAGGTGACAGTTTAGCTTATACAGACCTGCCAACCTTAGGAAGATATTTTGAGTAGCACGATAGTTTAATGCTTAGTTAAGATGCTTTCGCACCACTTCGCTTAGCAACCAGTCATTTTCCCATTCACTGCTATATTATCAAGTTTAGTTGTTCAACATATAAATCAGCTATGAAGAAAACAATACATTCACTGTCAACGAGCACTGTCCACCCTTGTGCATCCGGCCAGATGGAGTGAGGAGGGGGAGCGACTGTTTTTGTTGCTGTTGATTTGCAGTCTCTTAAAATGATTGACCTTACGTATTTGTCATCCCCGCTTGTTATTTGGAGAATGAGCCCAGCACTATGATTGGTCGACCTTTTCTTATTTTGTTTTTCTAAAAGGCTGTACACTGCTGCCTCTTGCTGTTATGCTGCCTTCACATGTTTGCAGTAGACGATGATGACAAACCAGATATTCCATTGTTTTTATTAGAGACGCAACAGGAAAGGCTGCCTCTGCAAGCATCAACAATCCACAGACACAGTGTCCACAGCGGTGAGCAATACGCTCTGCCAGGAGTTCAATTTTCCCAACGTTTGCCATCAACTGCAGCAGTGGAATAAACCCTGGACACCAAGTCTATGATTGTTGAAATCCAGGTGTTGCATAACAAAAATAAAAGTGCGGAGCATCTTCCTGACCTTCTCCACCTTAAATAAACAATCTATACCTCTAAAGCTCTCTTCTGGTAATCAGCCATTTTTGCTTCGCGGTCACCACGGCAACCTTTGCTGTCGGCCGTGTACGGCTGTGAGGGGCAGTATGACAATTCTTTCAATGCGAACATGTGAACGCAGCATCAGACTTAAGTACTGCACATTGACAGTTGAGCTCACAGGCATCACCAGCTTTTTGCGTAGTTTGGAGTAACAAATCGTACCAGCGTGCTTTTGATGTCAAAGTGCGTACCTGCTGCGCAAAATGCATATAGGTTGGCACGTTTGCATATATTTGTGACCAAATGTTGCTACTTTGAAATATGAATGCCTGAAGGTAAGCATGTTGCCACGGATGCATCGTTAAGGATGTGCCTGATGTAAATTCAAAAAGAGTGCAAAGATTTTTCACTGACGAACAAACATGTTGTCTCATTGTCCTCACCAGCATCCAGAGTGACACTGGTTAGCTTGGTTAGCTCATTTAAAAAGGGGCAGCTCCCATTAATCATCCAACCTGTAAAGGTACCACTGTCCCTTGGCTACTATTAAATAATAAGCTACAGTTTCAAATGTATTCATCTGTGTGCTGCTTCATTTTTATTGTTCAGATACCACTTTTTTCCTGCTGATGCCAATAACCGATCCTCAAGTACCAGCCGATATTAACTCTATCTGTCCTAACTAACTTACAAGTCCTGATATTCATACAGTCTTACTTTTTAAATATTTAATTTAGGTAAAATCTGATTTCAAATTAAAATGTACTAAGCTTGACTAAATAGCTTTTAATTGTTGTTTTATATATACCGCATAGGAGCACTTTGTAGTTCTACAGTTACAGACTGTAGTCCATCTGTTTCACTACATACTTTGTTACCCTGTTCTTCAATGGCCCACAGGACCACCACAGAGCAGGTATTATTTGGGTGGTGGATCATTATCAGCACTGCAGTGACACTGACGTGGTGGTGGTGTGTTAGTGTGTGTTGTGCTGGTACGGGTGGATCAGACACAGCAGTGCTGCTGGAGTTTTTAAACACTGCGTCCACTCACTGTCCGCTCTATTAGACACAGTTGGTCCACCCTGTAGATGTAAAGTCAGAGATGATAGCTCACCTGTCCCAGGACGCTGTTGGCTGGATATTTTCGGTTGGTGGACAGTTCTCAGTCCAGCAGTGACACTGAGGTGGCACTGAGGCTGCTCTTCCACTACTGTTGCCATCCCACTAAATACTGGCATTATAGATTGGAGGAACTGGAGGGCTGCAAAACTGATAACTCAAATACACTGATGAAGCCTGTGCTTAGGATCAGGCATTCTCAAAGCAAAGTTCCATGCTTTTTTCACCAACTGGTATGCTGTATTTGATTATGTGTGCTGTTGTGTGGTAAAATTATATTTTTGTTTTGTTAAGGTAGTAAAAAAGATATTATAAAGCATTGAATTTAATTTTAGCAACCCTTTATATTATTTTCCTTGTAGACGGTTTATGTAATAATTATTTTTTTTACTGTTCTTCTTTTACTTCCATATGGTTAAGCTGACATCCTTTCATGAAATCTTACGGCTGTTCAAGTATTACAGTTAGTCTGAATGCACATCCCTACCTTAGATACCATTAGCGCTGCAAAGCCTTACAATAGGTTGTGCTTTTTTTCTTCTCTCCCACAGATCCAGTTTGGATGAATACTGCCCTGCTGAACAGGTGGACTCCATTCAGAGCAACATGTTGAACATTCTTGAAACCCTGTTTGGCTCTTTAGACGTTCATAAGGAGTATGAATCAGCTCCTGAGGAAAGCACATCACAGCTCTCCTGAACATGAGAGCATATTTATATTCAACTTAAGTGGTCTCCAGTGCTGTTTTTTGAATCGAGTGAGCAGTGGGGTGGGAACTGTGTGTACGTGTTTGTTGCGAGTGTTTTTTAGATAAATGGACCTACGCTACTGGATTTGATATATCAGGCTGCTTAATGTGTTATCTTGAAAATATGGGAAATGGAGAAGCACATATTTCTCATGCATCAACAGTTTGCATCTGTTTGGCTTCTGCTGGAAAAAAATGCAGGAAAAACGTGTGGGAAACTGGATACTGCCTGAAAAATGTTATACCTCGTGTAAATATCTGTGAATTTGTAGAATAAAATTAAATTATTAGTTTTCATGTAATTTTTGCAGTCATACAACACATCAACCTAAATTAAAGCATGATTATGCATCGACATTTATTCTTTTCCAGAGAGACTTGCTTAAGTGAAACTGGTGCCGATTTAAAGGAAAACCAACAAAAAGTGTCTTGCTAAGGTGTTAAGCCACCATAAGACACAAGAACAGCTTCAGCACCTGAATTGTCTTGCCTCCACTTTTGCTTTTGAGGTTTATTGTATTGTATGTGCTTTGCCTCTCATTGTCCCATGTCCCAACAGTCTGTTAAAAAAGATTAGAACTAGACTTTCAGTTTGCACACTGGAACTAGACTTAATTGCGAGCATTATGAGGTGCTTGAAATGGCAAAAATCTAATCTGTGGGGCTAATTTGTTGTGTTTTGCCATCTCTGCCACCGTATTGGAATTCATTGTTTTAACATTTCCGCACAGGCATGTTTGTGTTACAGAGGAGTTTGTATGTGTATTGATTCTGGTCGAGGGAAGAAAGTGGGGCTCCGGGTTTGACACTTGCTTTCAGTCTAATCATGCTGGGATGAATAAACTCAGTCTGTGGTTCAGTCCAGTATGAGTTGATGACACCCAACCAAGGCCATGCTTGCAGCCTTGTAAAGCAAGTTATGTTATGTCCAGTTGCTTAGCAACTTCATGGTCACATTATTGCCACCTGCCATTGAGAGCAATGCAGTTAGATCGCCTTGGCTAGAGCTTTTCCACGAACTGAGCCTCTGGGAGTTTACTTCAAGCCTTTCGCTCCAACTAGTCATGATGTACACGTTAATCCAGGAAAATCATTGTTTGCTGGAGAAATAACTAATATATATATATATATATATATATATATATATATATATATATATATACAAAGCAGCCCCTAATCTGTAGTTCAGTCCTGTTTTTCTTGGTCCTCTCTGACCTTGGAAATGCAATCATTGAGATAATTATGCTCTATTCAGTAGCTCTTTGCTTTTCTGTACAAATGCCTAAATGGTCAGCAGTAATAACAAATGCAATTATGCAGATGGTAACATTTATTTTTTGTAATTTGTACTCTGAAGTTCGTAAAAACTACCCTTGTCACCATTTTGCCATCAGTATACTCAAGTCCAGTTAGATCCCTGCCTAAATGTAATGTAATGTCATCAAAAAAATGAGTAATCAAATCTCATAATTTCAATCAAATGGAGGACAAGGCTCTGACCATTGTGCCCCAGAATATATTATTATTCAAGCTCATTTTGTATAATTTTGTGAATTTCCTTTCAAGGTTCAATTTTCTTGCAGGGCACTGCAGGTTTTCATCCTGTAATTTTCTCCTCTCCACAGTGTCTCTTTTACCCTCTGGTCTAGATGGAACTGCAATCACAGCCAATGAGAAACATCCGTGCAGCGTAATGCTGGGTGGTGCCATGTAGATCTTTTGTGCCAAACAAACTGAGGAAGTTCAACTAGTTTTGTCAGTCCATAAATTATTCTGTCAGCTAGCAAGTTTCTGATGTTTTTTTCCTTAAGGCTAACATACCCACCCATCCGGTTAGTAAAAGCAAAAGCCAGATAATGATGTCTAATTCTAACATATTTTATTTATGTAGCAATTTTCATACCAGTGGCAGCTCGAATGCTCCACAGACAGAAGAACCTATGAGTATTAATTCAAAATCATCATCATCATCCTCATCACTATCATCACAGACAATCTGTAGCTGGGTACAGGGTTATTTTGAGCCTTAAAAACAAGTAGAAGAACTTTAAAGTCCATCCTAAATGATACATGTAGCCAGTTCAGTTCTTTCAGAACAGGAGTGATGTGAGCATTTTAGAATCCAAACCTCGTCCCAAACCAGGGAGCTGGCCATACGTCTGGAAAATTGAAGTTTATTTCTTGCACGTAGGTACCAGACACCTAGCCAGCCCATAAAACAATGGACCGATGCAGTTTTATAGCTGGACTGATGACATGATTAGGCTCAGCCTATACATGGCAAGTGACTGTTGTGACAGATATGACCATGTAGAGATAAACAAAAATAGGCAGAATAGAATGTTCTAAACACAAACACAGTACAGGCACACATGATATGAATATACTGACATATAACACAGCCCTAAACACATTACACAGCAGTGCATTCCAGTATGAGTTGTAAAGGATGTACTGTACATACAGCACTGTGCAGAAGTCTGAGACCACCCTTCATTTTACTCAATTTCCAGTCATAACAGCAAGTCCAAGTTCATTTTTAGGGAGATATTTCTGAGTCGATTAGAGATGAGAGAAACCACTTGCATAAGGAAGGAGAAAGCGTTTCCCAACCCCACCAGATAAACAGTTCTTAAAGCTTTTATCTTTGAGAGAGAGAAGAACATCTCAGAACAATGGACTGGCCAGAGGCCAGACCTCAACATCTTGAATGTGTATGGGATCATCTGAATCACGAGAAGCAGAAAATGCAACCAACTTCTAAGACTGAACTTTGGAGGTGAGAAAAAATATCCTTGCATGTTTGTTTGAATAACTGAAAGCAAGTCTCCCCCAAAGAGACACTAAATGCTTAAAAATGTAAAATTATATTTAGTTGTTGAGGCTTGCGTGTAATTTCATGTTAGGTCATTTTCATAATGTTTTATGCCTTAGGATATTTAACCATTTACAGGGGTTATTTTCTACACGGTTTCTTGAATAAGAGGATTCTGTCAGTAGCACAGGTCATTCTTTTCAGAAAAAAAAGTGTTTAGCTGCCTCAAAAAGCAAACTCATTTGGCCAACGTGTGTCCGAATAGTAGCTTGTAGGTAACATAGCTGTATCTGTTTGCTCTCTTCAGTGGCCAGCATTCGAACAAGCTGCAAAGGACTTTCTTGTTGCTTACAGTGGTGGATATGGATCCGTCCCACACCAAGTAGAAGAAGCAGCCCTTTCGTGAGTATGCTTTTGTGTCGGTGAGATCCGACGCATTGACAGGTATGCTGATTGCCTTGGGCTGTGCCATGACGACAACATTGCTCTCACCAGACAGAAGTGAGCTCTGTCTCTCTCACTCTCTCTCTCTCTCTCTCTCTCTCTCTCTCTCTCTCTCTCTCTCTCTCTCTCTCTCTCTCTCTGTCTCTCTCAGAAGTCTCTGACTCAGGCTAGTATGCCTGGATAGTCTTTTTGGTTGGGACCCACCAGTGGAAGCATCTAAGGTCCTTTTGAGCTGTGGTAGGACTGAGGAACAGGGATGAGATGGGGTGGTGGTGGGGACAGCAAAAAACAGAAGAAGCTCTCATTTATAAGGAGTTAAATTAGAAATAGGAGGGGTTCAGTCCCCCCCCAAATAATGCAGGCTAAACATTAGCCATGTCACGTTACTGATTAGCTGAAGCATTTAATCATAATGCTACAATCACAATATGTATAAATATAATTGCAATACTATTTTTTCCATGTCCAGCAGTTCTCTTGATCTATCAAAGACATGCATCAGGGGGAGCCCAGGGCTGCTCCTGGTGTTATGTGGATTGCCAGCGCAACAGTGTTGACGAGCTAGTGGGTGAATGTGCAGCCGAGCAACAAATGGCCATGGATGTGGATAATTAGTCCAGCTTGGTGGGAGAATAAGGGTCTGTCTTCTGACAAGGAGGTTGGCCCAAATGAGCCCACCTTCTTCCCTAACCAACGGCTCCAGGTACTGATGGTCATAATACAGATGGGACAACAAGCCTTTCGTGTGCTTTCCTAAAAATAAATGTTCCAGGCTTGAACTTTGAAAGTTGTGGAAATATTTTTAATTGGTATAGAAACTTTTCAAGACGGCTCACCTCATTCGGGTTCGATAGTTATGACTGACAACCAGACCTTCCCTTGCCAGTTTCCACTCTGAACATTCTCTGCCTAGCCTCAGTATAAGGATGCTAACATGTAGCTTCTACTTCTGATCTCTCCTATTATTTGTGGTTGCCAATTTGACCCTATTCGATGTTTTACATCTCTAAAGAAATGATTGACATACTTTTTGTTGCTTTATATTTAAAGACTAATTTAAGGGGGACAACTGGGTAAACATAAAATGAACATGATGAAATGTTTTCCATGTCCTGTACACATTTTGGACACATCGGTGGTCTTTGGGGTCAATGTTAGTATATTTGAAGATTTAGTAAAGGTGTGAAAGTAGGATTGTCCAGTTCTGCTATTGTGTAGCCATGTCAAAACACAGTTTAGTGGCTAAACCTGGGGTCGGCAACATGCGACATCTCCATTTTACTGCCGTACAGCAGAATTCGATTTTTAGGTAAAAATAAAATAATCCTCCTTTGCAGTAAAATAAAGCTCTGCTGATCATTCTAACACAGTTTTAACAATCAGTGCTCTTAAATGCTGGAGTTAATGTAGAACTGCTCATTTACCCTTTAATCCTGAAGATTGGCGTGCACAGTGATGGTCACCATAGCAACGCTGCAACAATCTCACCTAGCTAGTAGCTAACAAAAAGATTCAAGACGAACATCGATAATTTGGAGACGATGGACTTATTTGCAATTATAATCACTCCATCTGGTTTCATGATATGTTTAATCTGCAATGAGAAACTGTCAAATACTAAAAAGTCGCGAGGCTGAAGTTTTCCCAATCCACCTTAAATGGTGCTGCAGTTACATTCTGGCACCTCAGGCACCATTTAAGGTGGAACGGGAAAATTCAAACAAGAAGCTGGCGAATGAGAAGCGACTTCAGCCTTAAAAAAACTACTTTTGTGTAAAAGTTTCCTGCCAGAGATGCGAGAAAAGTGGCTACAGCTGAGCTAAAGCTTGAAGCAGAGCAGAGTAAGTCTGCAGTGTCGTTTATATTATATTCTTTATTCTTTACACTGGGACATTACTGGCACATATTTCTTTGTGAGCCTGTGCCGTGTGACGTCAATACATAAAGATGTATGACATGGTATGAAAAACTCCCACAGAATGCAACTCTGCACCTCTGGCTTTTAAATAACTATTTCCAGCTTTACAGGGTGACTCAAAGCAGCACGCACACAATATTTTAACATATTTTTGTTCTCCTGACTCAGAAATGCTACTTATGAT